TCGCCCCCGTCGCGACCATGCCCGTTCCCCATGGCGTGAGCACGCCTATGGGCTCCATCCGGCCCGTGACCCCCTCCCCCCTACCCGGGCCTAGCCTTTCCGCTCCGGGGAGTCCTGCGGCAGTCGCCCCGGAGTGCTCGGACTCGGGACCAATCTCTGGGGCGACGCGAGGGGAGCCCGCAGGTCTCGTGCACCTGGCGCAAGGCCTGCAACACGTACGCATCTCGGACAATTGTCAAGAGGAGGGAGATTCAGTCGGATCCGAGGAGGAGGAGGGAGATGCAGAAGCAGAGGAAAAAGAAGAAAGCGGAGGATAAGGAGGATCACCGAGACTCTGTTGGGAAGGAGTCGCAGCAGCGGAATCGCAGTCGAACGCGAGTGGGGTTGCCACACCTTGCGATGTGTGTGGCGCAGTAGGATGTTCCGCACTTTGCGATTGCAGTTGCAAACGCATGAACGGAGCCAATCTTTGGAGGATGTCTCGAGTTCAACTGTCGTTTTGAGGGCAACTTTGAACACATCGGACTTCAACTTTTTGGGGGATGTCCCATGATTCTTCTAAGGGGGGCGTCCAAACTCTTTACATTCCATCAGGCTTCGGAAGGCTTTACGGTACAATGTTGAACATCCATGTTGTGCTTTCGGATCGTGGTGTCGCGATCTGTGTGATGGGTGCGATCGGCTTTCATAATTTTGAAGATGTCCCGAACGAAACAGCCGACAATGTCGCGAACGGGACCAACTCATCGCCGCTGAACTCTACTTCCTCGGAGAGGTGCGTATGCGAATATGCGTACATGTGTGTGTATATATATATATACTAGAAACGTCGCGCGCGCTTCGCGCGCGCTCATGATCATCGTCATCATTGTCATCCTCATCCCCGCCATCTTCATCGTCATCGTCATGGTCACCTTCATCATCACCATCACAACAATCATCATTGTCACCATAATCATCAGCATCGTGATCGCCATCGCCATCATCGCCATCGTACTTTTCAGCATCATCACCCGCATCATCAACATCTTGTTGGTCGTCGTCGGCATAATCATCTTCATCATCAGCGTCATCGCCGTCATCATCCCCGGTCCACTGCAGTCCCCTTACCCTCCTCCTTTTCCCGTTCTCCCTCTTGCCATCATCTTGTACTAATCCTTTTCCTCGTCGGCGTCTCCTTGAGAAGGGATCCCTGTTCCTTCACCTCCTCCTCCTCCTCTTCCTCCTCCTTCTCCTCCTCCTTCCTGCCTTCCCCGCTCTTCGGTGTGTCCCTCCTTGCTTTCCTACTGCACCTCCTTCCTCCTCTCGAGCCCTCTTCATCCTGCGCTCCTCTTCCCTCCTCAGCATCCCTCCCCGAGCCAGAGAATCAGAGAACAAGATAATCTTGCAAAAGCAATGCCCCTCCTCGTCTTCCCCCTCCTCTTTCCCCTCTTCGTCCTCCTGATCTTCCTCCCCCTCCTCCTGCTCCTCCTCCTCCTCCTGCTCCTCCTCCTCCTCCTCCTCCTCTCCCACCTCCTCCTCCTCCTCCTCCCCCTCCTCCTCCTCCTCCTTGTCCTCCTCTTCCTCTCTTTTCTCAACGCACCTAAGAATCCTCTGGTGGCCCTCTCGGGCTTCCTGAGGGCTCTCTGGGGCCGTCTTGTAGCTCTTCTGTGCCGCTTGAAGCTCTCTTCAGCCCATCTTGGAACCCTCCTTGTGGCCTCTGGGGCCGTCTGGGGCTCATTTTGGGAGCCTCTGGGGCCGTTGCGGCCGCTGGTAGGACAGAAAAGCAAATATCCAAGACATCTGCGTTTTTCCGACAGGAAATGCTTGAACTTTGCCCTTGGAGGGCCTTCTCGGCGGCCTCTTGGACCGTCTTGAATGCCTTTGTGGCCGTCTAGGAGCAGTCTTGGGCTGTCTTCGAGCGCTCGTGTCCCGTCTGGAAGCCATCTCAGTGCGCTCTTCAGCCACTTTCCAAACAATCTGTGGCGCTTTGGACGCCTATTGGGCCAGCTTGGGAGCCTCGGGGGGGGTCCGGGGCCCCTTCTGAACCCTCTTGGAACCGAAGGCCCCCCCGGCCCCCCATGCGAACCAAAGGTCGCAATTCTGGGCCCTCCCCAGGCCTACTCCGCTGTGTATTATATATATATGGTTATATATATATGTATATACACACCTTTGTGTGTGTGTACATTAGAACCACGCGTGCGCTAAGCGCGCGCTTGGGTTCTAGTCGTAGATGAGCCACGGGTGATGCTGCAAGCCCCGCTGTGGCCACAACGACGATTTCCAGCTTTCTCGGGCCCATGCCATCGACGCAATAAAAACGCGTTGTCAGAACGCGGGGCGCCACGTTCCTGCGTATCTCACAATCTCGCTGGCGCATTTGTTTGGTTTGTCGATCTGCGCTGTTTTCTCCATTTTCACTTCCACTCTGCCCCGTCGTGACACCGAACTACATTGCACATCTGTTTGGTCTCCCCATGCCCGATCGCGCAGACATCCGCCGGCTCCTGATGTTGGGGTTGTCTCGGGGCCTCGTTGCGCGCGCGTGGGGGCGCGTTATTTTTTTCCTCTTCCTTGTGCTCCAAGCTTCTCGTTTTCAGCGGTCGTTCAGCTGTCGGGTATCTGCAGAGGGCGCGCGCAGATGTCCCTGTCATCAATGCCCGTTTCTGCAATCAGTTGTTGTCGAATCCGTCCGCGGGACTGGGGGAGCTTCTTTGTGCTGGACGCCCAAACTCATGCTGGCGACAATCGCGCCCGTGGGATCAGAAGGTTCGGGCTCACGGGGGATGCTCACTGATTTGCCTGGCAAGTCCCATGTATGGGTCTGCCCGGAGCTCCGACGGGGGCTCTGGCGGTACCTTGTTGGCGCTCTGGCGAGGCCTTTCAGGAGGTGAGGGAGGGGCACGAAACCGGAGAAATTGTACAGTACAGCCACACCCCGTTCGCTCGGGCGGGTCCGCCCTGCGAGGGTGGGGCACGTGCCCCGAACATGGAGCACCTGGCGCTGCTGGAGTGTGCGGCACACCTGGCGCACTCCGAGCACGTGGCGCATCTGGCGCACAAGGCGTGCCTGGCACGCTCGAGCCCCAGGGGTGCCTGGCGCGCGTGGCGCCCCTGGCACGCGTGGCGCACCTCGCCCAAGCGTCGCGCACCTGGGGTCGGTTTTGGTTCCCCATCCAAAGGCGACCGCTGAACATGCTCAGGCTCGGGTGTTACTTCTGTGTTGGGAGGGCGGGTGGGAGTGAGCTAGACGGCTTGCGGGCGGGTGGGTAGGTTGATCCCTATCCCTACCCCTATCCCGATCTCCCATCGTGGCTGCCCACCGTAACGGCCTGACGCTGTTTAGCGGCTTCTGCCTCAGGGGTGCCATTTGTTATGTGAATTGGTTTGTGCTTTTTGGGCCTTTTCGTTCACGATGGGATTATGATACCTCAAGATGTTTCCAAGATCTTTTAAGAGAGGCCAAGACTCGCTCCAAGATGGCCTCGAAGGCCCCCGACAAAAACCCCCAAAGCATCCCCAGAGGGCCTGAAATGACACATTTTCGGGTTCTCATCAGGGGCCCCCGATCGGGATCTTATGATCTTGGGTTGATGGCCTCCAGGACGGCTCCCAAAGGGCCCCGGCGGCCCCCAAGGCCCCCCCCCAGAAGTCCCGAGAGGGCCTCACATCATCCCGAACGGGTCCCAAGAAACCTCCACGATGACTCCAAGAGGCTCCCAGATGTTTTTGAAGTCTACGTCCCTGCTCCCGATTGGTCGCCTGGGCATCATCTTTGGATGGGCGGCCCGGGATGCAGGACGCGAGCCTACTTACATTCGCCCATCCACCTTTCAGTGATCGGCTGAATGGCGTACGCCTTTCGAACAAGAGATACGAGGATTTACGCAAACACGCCGCTACAAGACCACGCACGCGATCACGCACCTGTGCGCCCATGGACGCGGCATAGCAAATATGGACGAGCAAAGAGAGAGAGAGAGAGAGAGAGAGAGAGAGGGAGAGAAAGAGAGAGAGAGAGAGAGAAAAAAAACAGCAACAATATAGGGAGAGAGAGAGAGAGAGAGAAAGAGAGAGAGAGAGAAGGAGAGAGAGAGAGAGAGAGAGAGAAAGAGAGAGGGATAGAGAGAGAGAGAGAGACACACAAAGTAAGAGGAATAATGGCAGCCCATGGAGGTGTCAGGAGCGCCCTGCACTTCTGGCCTTGTGCTGGGCTGTGGAAAACGCCATATCCTTGTCGAGCGTCGGTCCGACGTTTGTGCGGTCCGCCTCGCGTTTTCCGTTTTCGCAACGGGGACCCTGTGCCACGGTGCCCGCTCGAGCGCTCTCCCACTCCACCGGCCGTCTGCACAGACGGCGATCTTGTCGGTCAGCGTGTCGCTTTCCCGAACAGCACGGCCCACTCCTCCACTCCGAACCTGGCGGCAAACTCTTCGCTGATGTGCGCAGCCGCCCGCTTATGTGAGACGCCCCAAGACTCATCTGGCAGGCGTCCGGCACGCGCCACTCTGCGTAGCATTCTCGGCGCCGCGTCGTGCGAAACTTTCCTCTCTTGGTCCGCGCTTGGGGGTGAGACACGCGCACGGAACAAACGGATGTGATGCCGAAGAGGCCAGCGTCGATGACCCAGAATATTTTTCAAACGGGAATAATGCTGCCCACCCAGAAGAGATTCGATGCGTCAGCCCTGTCTCGTGGTAAGTATCAAAAATTCAATTTCCTGCCCAAGCACTTCTCCGATTCCCCCTAGCATAAAAGGAAGAACGCGCGAATCGCAGACACGGGAAATGGGACGCGAGACGTCTCGCGGGTTACGGGCTCGAGAGGAGAGGTGTTGTGAGGCACTGTGAGGGTCTTCGTCAATCCCTAGATACTCCGACGCAGAAAAAGAAGTCGTCGCGCTTCTTGGGTTAATGCGTTTTGATGGCTTCGCCGCGTCTGCACCTTTAAGGATTGAGGGAGATCAGTGAACATTTCCGAAACCGACAGGGGAGATCTTCGACAGACCCTGCCACGACCTGTTCAGGAATCTGAGCAACTCTTCGGCTGAGAGGCATCTGGCTTTCTCGTCGAAGCCCACAATGGAGATAAACATGACGGACGCGTGGACTTGTGCCGTCACTTCCACACTTTCGGCCGCGTCTTTTTCCGCATCACCGCTGGCAATTGTGAAGAACGTGCGACATTCAAGTAAACACGTAAAGCCAACTCGCTTCTCAACAGCTTGCTCTCTTTGCTATCTTCAATGCGGCCATGGGATAAGGTTGTGAAGGCTGGTAACATGGCAAAGACAAATACGGGACACTCAGCACCGCCGTCTCCTTTGCATTATGTTTTGACCACTTGTGATTCTCTTGCTTTCCCTTTTCCTGCTCCTCCTCCGCCCTCCTCTCCACCCCTTTCCCGTAACAATCGCGCGCTCTCTGGAGCGCCGTGGGGATCGGCAGCTCCGCACTTCCAGCGCGCATTCACGTTTCATTGCTTCTTCTCTCGATCTCTCTCTTTCGCTCCCCCGTTCTCTCTCTATCCTTTTTTGTGTTGCCTCTCTCTCTCTCTCTTTCTCTCTCCTTCTCTCCCTCTCTCTCTCTCTCTTTTCCTTCGCAAACATCCCGACGACACAAAAGGCAAGCGTACGTGATTGCCAGCGATGAACCCGCACGGTGACGTCTTGCACCCTGGATGCGTAAGCTACGGGGTGCAAACTATGTGGTGTGAGCAGTGTGATGCAAAGTACGTGGTGAACACAATGTGGTGTAAGCGATCTTGTGCAATCTACGTGTGGCAAGCTAAGTGGTGTAAGCTACGTCATGCAAGTAGTGTAGTGCAAGCTATGTGGTGCGAGCTATGTGGTGCACTTCATGTGGTGTAGGCTATGTATTGCAAGTCATGTGGTGTGAGCTATGTGGTGCAAGCTAGGTGGTACACACTTCCTGGTGTAAGCTATGTGGTGCGAGCTAGGTGGTGCAGACTCTGCGCTGCGATCTGTGGTGTAAGCTATGCGGTGCTGTATGTGGTACGAACTATGTGGTGTAAGCTGTGCTATGTAGGCTATGCGGTGCAAACTGTTTGGTGTGTAATGTATAAACTATGTGGCGCCCGCAGCCGGGTGCCATGTGAACCCCGGAAATACCACCCACTGGACAAGCCGCCCATCAAGCGCCACCAGCCTGGCATCAGCCGAAAAGCCGTAAATCCCAGCGAACACACGGGGCGCCCACAAGGCGCCCACTACCAAACACCAGCCAGAAACCGCACATCCCACCCAGAGTACGAGCGCCAGCGAGGGGCCTACGGCCAAACACCAACGCAAAACCTGGAAGTCTCGTCCGGTTGCATGAGGAAGTAAGGAAGACACCCTAACTGCAAGCACCGTTTCGGGCATGCCGATATCATCTGTTACGTTTCCAGCTACAGGGTGCAAGCGTTTGTAGCAATAATTCAAGGGCCAATGCGGCGAACTAACAGAGATATGCACGCACGTGCAGTGCTTATAAGCCACATGTGCACAAACACATCAATTATCACAACACACGATGATGACAACTTGCATGACGTTGCTGCGCCGCCGCCCCTCCTTATTGGGCCATCCAGAAGCCCCGTCGTTCCCTGGGGGCCCCTTGTGCAAAACCGCACCTCTGTCCTGACTTTGAAAACGCAATCTGGAACTCTCGACCTAATCAAACTATTGTATGGATGATGTGTCATCCCTTGCTGGGCCTACGACCCGGCATGGGCCTCTCGAGGCCTAAACTCAGGAATTCGGCCAGTCCTGATTTCTTCAAAGCTCCAGAGGTCTGGGGTCATTCCCTGTGCAAGTCCGTGCCTGCCTGCGCTTCCTGCTCGCACAAAGTGCCCCAGGCCCTTGACGAAGGCAATCCGTGGGCCGGCAGACGGGGTAGAGGGCCCCATACAGCCTGGTGTACTGAGCCCGAGGGTGTAATGAAATGCAAATCTTCGCTCTCCTCCACTTGTTCCTCCCTCCTCCCTTCTCCTCATTGTCTCCCACGCCCTTTTAGTCACGCTGATTCAGGCGATTCTTTGCTCCTCCAGCCCTTGCATCCCTCGGGCATGGCATGCTCGCAGGTGCTTTTCGAGCAAGCCCGTCGAACAATCCTAATCCTAATTGGACCGCTGGACCGCGCGCGAGAAGCCTGCAATCTTCTGGAGTTTCAAAGGGTCGGGCCGCGCACAAGCAAACTCGTGTACAATCGAAGAACAATACATGTCAGCGACCGCGTAGCGAAGCGAAGTTCGTCGACGACGTGGCAGTGTCATGCATGTGTTCCCTGCTTGATACGAACTGTCTGGTTCAAGAGATTCGAGACGAGCCCACATACGCAAACATTGGCAATATTCATTTGCAAGCTCGACAACCTCGCGTCATTTTTTCCTTGTGTTCACAAGCGCATGAGCAAGACGACACGGACAATACTGCCACGGAATAGGTCTCCTGCTGGATGGGTTCTTCAACATCGGGACTATGACAAACGACGGCACCATGTACTTCAGCACGTTGAACATGCTCTGCGTTGCGAGCAACTGGTCCAAGTCCAGCCTGGTCTCCGATAGCAGCTGAACTCCCCATTGCTAGAGTCTGCAGAATCGTACTCCCCAATCGTCCTGCCTGACAAACTACTGCGGCCTGTGTCACCGCTGGTGGTGGAATTCTGATACCCACCTCCCCGCCAAACTCCCCTAACACCTAGGTCTTACCCGATCGAAGCCAGTGGATGCTTAGCTGTGCGGTTTACTTCTGGGCTTCTGAGAAACTATCATGGCGGCGATTGCCGCATTGGGGGTCCCCTCCGCTGTTTTCGACTGGTCAACCTGGCCAGGGTCAGACACCCTTGGCGATGCTGACCTTGCGCGCTCCAGCGCGTCTCTATGTGTAATCGCTCGCATGGCGCGCCATGCAAGAAAACTTGTGTGTGATGTGCTCTGCCTGATGAAGAATCGCGCGAGTGCCAAGTGTCTTAGGGGCTATGTCGAATTGCGTGATTGCCCACGGGTGTACTTACCGGGCACGCGCCAGTGGTGATTGTCCACCATGCGAATCTCGCTCGTCGAGGGCGAACGGGTCCGAAGACAGCACTCACGAAATCATGGTAAAGACAATGGAAAACACGTATCGTGTGTATTCTTCGCTCGCGCACAACATGGATGAAGAATTGAAGGCAATTCGTTGGGTGTGCACTCCTACAACTTACGTCCATTCCGCGGGGATTCGTGCCGACCGTACAGCAGCGATCATACCCCCCAACAGATCTGTAATACCTCGCAGAAGATCGAAGATCTCGCTTGGTGAACAGTAGTACTCGTGTAGCGCAGTAGATTCGTGTATATATTCCCCGTAAATGTTTGTACTCACGGGTTCTCACTTCTCTCGTAAGGAACTGGATCTGGGTGGCGGTCTGTCTGGCGGCTCCGCGCGCGCCGTCGCCACTCCGTCGCCGCCTCGTCGCCGCCCGTCGTTCCCGCCTGGGTGGCGGTCTAGCGGCTCAGTGCTCGCCGTCGCCGCCATGCCGTCGCCGTCGCCGCCCCGTCGCCGCCTCGCATCGATTCCCCATTCGGGCGAGAAACTAAAATCTACCCCCCCCTGGGATTATCGGCACCCCATGTGATACTGCAAGTTCGAGATGGTTCCGCCGCATCGTTCGTTTCGTAAGAATGAATTTGCACCATCCCAGGCAGGCCGTTATCGGCCCTTCATCCTTTGCAATCGTATTCTGCGCGCGCAGTCTTTTATAAAAAACAACAATGCTCGAGACCCCTGCAAAAACATGGGGCGAAGACGACACGCATGCGTCGTCGCGCGCGCATGCCGACATTCTTCAAACACGTGAGGTTCCGTAGGGATTTCAAAATCGAGGTTCCCAAAGACATAAACAACCAATGGTGTTACGACATGTTGTTTCAAAACAAGTCTGAGTGCGCGCTCTTGCGGATTCTCAAGGTGTTGGTTTCCAACATGTCGTCAAGTGCGAAAAAGCGGGCCACTCGCGCGCGCATGTCGAGCTCATTCGGACGCCTTTGCACGTTTGCTGGGGGGGAGGGGGGAGGCACGATCCCTGTCACATAATTCCATGCGGGCCATTCGCGCGCGCGTCGGCCGCGCGCGCATGTCGACGTCCTTACAAAACCTTCATCACCGACACGTGGGCGCCGCCATCGCCATCGGCGAGGCCAACATCGGCACCGGTCATTGCCCTTGCGGTCGTCGTCGTCGTCATCGTCACCGTCATCGCTATTATCATCATCATCGTTTCCGCCCTTGTCGACGTCACCATGATACTGCGCTCGCCCGGATCACCGACTCGCAATGAGGTGCCCGCGCCAGCTAGCGCGGTCTGTGAGACGCGTTGGGGAGTCCCCATCGGTGAGCGCCACCGCGGCCGCGTCAAATGTGCCAAACCAGCTGGCCGCCTGGCGCGCGAACGTGCGCGCGCCAGCAAGGCCGCAGAGGTGCGCCAGCCACCATCAAACACTCATCGCAAACGCCACTGCATGGGTTTTGCAAGCTGCGGGTGAAGTTCTTCAGCAGTAATTTCACCCTATAGACTCACCGCGTAGATTCTCCGTTCTAAAAAAATAGATTCTACCACCCTCCCCCCCGGACTTAACGATCCACCTTTCCGTATTGCAATTCATATATGATTCGGCCCCATCGTCCGTCCGAAAAATGAATTTACACTATCCCAGGGGAACTGGCATCGCCCTCCATCCTGTGCAAAAATACTATGCGCGCGCACTCGTTTAGCAACCATAAGTTTCAATAATCCCTGACAAAAAATGGGACGAAGTGCGCACGCGCGCATCGTCGCGCGCGCATGCCGAAATCCTTCAAAAACCTTCAAAATCGGAAGGATTTCAGAATCGAGTTTCCAAAACGCATACAAAAACAGAAAGGTTTCGAAAACCTGATGTTCTAAAAAAGCTTACGCGCGCGCTCTTGCGAAATCATCAGAACACCACCGCATAAATTTCATCACCACGTGGAGTGCACCACACGGACTGCGCAACAACAATCACATCACATATCTTGTCTTTTCTGGACCAGAGGAGTTCGGATATACCACCCCCCCGTGGCCGAGGGCGGTGGCCCCCCTTGGGGTTGCGCAATCTACATAGGATGATGCCCAATCGTCCGTTCTAAAAATGAATTCGTACCATCCCAACCAGGCCAGGTTCGGCCCTCATCACCCCCGATAAATAATACTATGCGCGCGCACTGGTTTATCATGCATCATTCACTTGTAAGAACCTCTTTAATCAGATGGGGCGGAACGCGGGCGCAGGCAGGAAACCTTCAAAAACCGTGGCTGTCGTAAGGATTCGAAAAAGATCGCCCCGAGCACGCATAGCTATCCAAGCGAACGACCAAACCATACGCAATTGTGAATACCGCCGTTATGAGAACCGCCTTCGGTGGAGGTCCCTAGTGAGGGGCATTTGAACGCAGCCACTGAGGCCTTCGGTGGAGCTCCTTCTGACCACAACCCACCACCACCACAACTATCACCACCACCATCCCCACCAGAAACCACCACCACACCACCACCACAACCCACCACCACCACAGCCTGCCACCACAAGCACCATAGTAACCAACACCACAGCCTGCCGCCACAACCACCACAATAACCACCACCACCACTAACCACCACACCACCACCACTTCATCACTACCGCCAAGCGCCCCCCTCCAAGCGCCCACAGAACGCGCTCTTTCATATATAACTATGTGTGTGCATATGTGCTCTCCTCATCCGCCTACCTAGATCCCCCATATGCTCGGCCTGAATTTCTGCCGCTGCGATCTCAACATCTGCCTCTTCCTTCTCACCGCGAACCATGCCAGTCCAGCAACGAAACATCCTCCGATAATCATGTCAAACGTACCAATGTACTTATATTTGTGCTCAGCTCCCCTGTCGCGGATAAATGAAACAATGCAGAAATACAATAACCACAACAAACACATAACTTTTATCCACACTTCGTTCAAGCACAAGCTGGGCAGTACGAACATCCAAATCATCGCATCCAACATCACGTTGTAACCAGGTGACTCGCAAGTCTCGCATGTACTTTTGCTGGCTCGTGGATTCTGGCACGTCTGGAACAGAATTTGCTCGTTACTGTGAAACTCAAACCCAAAAGTGATAGTATTGAACTGCCAAGCGAACATGGTGACAAACATCAGCCCGGCGTACAAGCGCGGGAATGGCCACCGATGGCACAAGGCTATTCCGAATGATCCGGCGTAGAATGCGACGTCGCTGGTGTCCGCCACCGCGTTCTGCGCTGTTATGCATGGCATGGCCTCTGACAACGTATTCCTCCTTCCTCCTCCCCCTCCTCCTCGGGCTTCCCCGCCTCCTCGTCCTCCTCGTTGTCGTAGTGGCGGTGATCGTCGTCGTGCTGCTCCTCCAAGGCGAGATGTCTGTGCATCGAGCGTGGATGGGAAAATATTAGCGGAAGCACATCTGGATAATACTTATCATCACCCAACCTGAACATATCAGAATAATTCCCATCCTTACCTTGGCAACCCGCCAAATAACCAATGAAAAGGACGCCGTACTCGTAGAAGAGGAAAAACGCAAACGTCGTCAATGTCAGTATCTTTGCCCCGAGCTTGATGCTTGGAATGACAACGTCCTCGTGCCATCTCTCTGGGAACCTTGGAACTCCCGGTTCGGCAATACGGATTGCGAAATTCTAACTTCCAAGGGCGATGACTGGTATGAACAAGTTCGGCGGTCATTGCGAACTCATGTCCTTGCCAACAATTTGCCCAGCGCCCGAAACCACACGCGATCGAATTTTGAACGAACAGCGATTGGATCAAGAATCCGAGATCTTTGCCACATGAAGACTCCACAAGCCCCCGCTGGCCTGGGGGGGGCCTCCTATGACTCCGTATGCCCTCGCTGGGAGGTCCCTAACAGCCTCCATACGGGTCGATTTCTTCCAACATCAACGACAAGCGCAACTTGTACGCGCAGACATGGCCCAAGTAGCGTTCATATTGCAGCCGATCGTCCAGATAGTCTTCAATCTCTGCTCGACCTGCCCGCAACGAGCCCAAACAGGCTTGTCTTCCTCGTCTTGCGCTTCTCGCCTCCAGGCGTTTCCAAGATGCACCACAATGGCCCATGACTTTTTCAATACATAACCACAACCCCTAGATGGGCCCACGACGAGCGCAAGATACCGCCCCCAGACGGCCCGAAACAACTCCACGACGGCAAATATCCGCCACCGTGCCTTCAGCACGTAATGAAGCACCCCAAAGCTCACCAGCCAATTGCCACTGCTCAAGGAATTCACTTCAAGGTTCTGACAGGCCCCGGCCCTGGATTTCCGGGGCGCTCCCCAGAATTCCTGGAGTGTGTCGCGTGAGCTCTCTGGACACTGATTCGGCCCCAAACTAGCCCCAGAACCCCAAATGATGCCTCAAGAGGTCCCCTAGACGGGTCATGAGCGCCCCAGCACTGTCCGAGAGCGCCCCAAGACGCCCAAGGTGGCGTCAAGACGGCCAAAGAGGCCCTGCACACGGCCCAAGATGGCCGCGAGAGGCCCGCCGAGGGGGCCCCAGGATGCACACACCACTCCCGAAGCAGTGCGTGCACTTGGGCGTCCTCACTTCTCCTGCGAAGCAGTCGGGAACGTCCCCCCTCCTCCTCCTCCTCCTCCTCCTCCTCCTCTTCCTCCTCCTCCTCCTCCTCCTCCTCCTCCTCCTCCTCCTCCTCCCTCCTCCCTCCTCCCTCCTCCCTCCTCCCTCCTCCCTCCTCCCTCCTCCCTCCTCCCTCCTCCTCCTCCCTCCCTCCTCCTCCCTCCTCCTCCCTCCTCCTCCCTCTTTCCACGCCCCCGTGCCCTGGGCGGGCCCGCAGAGGCTGTCGCCGGGGGCCCGCCCGCGGGCGCCTCGGTGGGCGCCCCGTGCGCGGGGTGGGGCAGCCGAGGTTTCGCCCGGTGCCCGCCCGTGGGCGCCTCGTGGGCGCTCCTCCTCCTCCTCCTCGTCCTCGTCGTCCTCGTCGTCCTCGTCGTCCTCGACGTCCTCGTCGTCCTCGTCGTCCTCGTCCTCGCCCTCGTCCTCGTCCTCCAACTCCTCCTCCTCCTCCTCCTCCTCCTCCTCCTCCTCCTTTTCCTCCTCCTCCTCCTTCTTCTCCTCCTTCTTCTCCCGTGCCCTGGGCCCCGTGCCCCCTGGGGGAGGGGGGCAGAGCAGCTTGCGCACCATGGCTCGCGCCGCACGCCCCACGCCGCGTAGCTTGCCCCACCATACCTCAAGCCACAGATCCCACACACCGCACAGTCTGCACACCGTAGCTCGTACCGCAGAACCTCACACAGCGCAGCCTGTGTACACCACATAGCTCACGCCATATACCTCACACAACACAGCTAACACCACATAGCTTACCCCGCATCGCTTGAGCCCCACAACGCAATAACTCACTGTTTGGGGTCCACGCTGGCTAATTTTGGATCCCTTACATCTTGAAGGATTCTTGCGTTCTCGCCTTTCAGGACTTCCGATGCTCCAGGATGGCCCGAGAGGGCCCCGACATCGCCCGAAGGCGGCCCAAGAGGCCACCGAGAGGCCCCCGAGAGTCTACGACGGCTCAAGAGAGCTCCAAGATGTCCCAAGAAGGGGAACACGAGCTGGCATTTTGAGCCGACCGGCCCAAGACGACCCCCGAGACCACGAGTAGGCCCACAAGAAACCTCGGAAAGCCCACAAGATGCCTGAAAGAGGCCCGCAAGAGGCCCCACGATATCCCCAAATCGCCTACAAGAGGCTTTTGAAAGGCCTCCCTGGAGGTGCCAACAAGCCACCAAGAGGCCTCTGACCTCCAACCCAAGCGCGGTGGGGGAATGGTCCGAAGGCCACTAGACCTGGCCCGGCACAGAAACGGAAAGAGCGCTTCAGAAACAGGAGCCGAAATTACGCACACCACCGTTCGCACCGGGAGCCTTGGCGTTGAGAGCTTGTTACGTCACCCCTCGCTCTTGGGAGCCTTGGTGTTCAGAGATTGTTGCGTTGCCGCCCGTTCCTGAGCCTTGGCTAGGCCTTGGTGTCAGGAACTTGTTGCGTCACCGCTCTCTGCTGGGAGCCTTGGTCTTATTAGCTTGTTGACGTCACCGTTCGCTCTTGGGAGCCTTGGTGTGAAGAGCTTTTTGCGTTACCGATCGCTCTTTATTTGGCGTCTCTGAGCCTTCTTGGGGGTCCTATTGGGGCCCTTTTCGGGCCATTGTGGAGGCCTCTTGAGAACCTCTTGGGGGCCGCTTGGGGCTTCTCGGGGAGAACGGCCCCGGAGGCCCCCAAGACGGCCCAAGAGGCAAGACGGCCCTGGAGCGCCCCAAGAGGGCCTCATGTCGGCCCAGAGAGGCCCCCAAGACGGCTTCCGACGGCGTCATACGGGCCAGGAGGCCATCAAGACGGCTCAATATGGCTCGAAGATGGCCCAAGAGGCCACCAAGAGGTCTCTAAGACGGCCCAAGAGGCCCCCAAGAGGGCTTCCAGGAAGGCCCGAAGATGACAAAATCATTGATTTCCCTCAGGTGTTTGCAGGATTTTGGCATTTGCTTCTTTTCGGCCTTCCGACGGCCCGAAACGGCCCAAGAGCCCACAAAGAGCGCCCCAAGATCGCCCACGAGGCGTCCAAGATGGCCCCAGAACGGCCCAAGAGGCCCCAAAGACGGCCCCGCTAGGCGGCCTCCAAGACGGCCCTGGAGCACCCCACGAGGGCCCCAAGTCGGCCCAGAGAGGCCCCCAAGACAGCTCCCGACGGCGTCAGACGGGCCAGGAATGCCCTGAGACGGCCCCAGATGGCTCGAAGATGGCCGAAGAGGCCACCCAGAGGTACCCAAGACGGCCCAAGAGGCTCTCAAGAAGCCACCCAAGAGGGCCTCCAGGAAGGCCCGAAGAGGCCCAAATCATTGATTTTCCTAAGGTGTTTGAAAGATTCGGCAACTGCTTCTTTTCGGCCTCCCGACGGCCCAAGAGCCCACAACGAGCGCCCCAAGATCGCACAAGAGGCCTCCAAGATGGCCCCAGAACGGCCCAAGAGGCCCGGAAGACGGCCCCAAGAGGCCTCCAAGACGCCTTGGACGGCCTCCAAGACGGCCCATGAGCACCCTACGAGGGCCCCAAGTCGGCCCAGCGAGGCCCCCAAGATGGCTTCCGACGGCGTCAGACGGGCCAGGAATGCCCTGAGACGGCCAAAGAGGCCCCCGAGGAGACCCCAAAGGCCCCCAAGAGGCCCAAGGAGGCCCCGAAGATACCTCCAAGAGGCTCCCAGGTAGCTCCCAGGACGCCCCAAGAGTGTACCCAGAGGCTCCCAACATGCCCCCTCCTCCTCCTCCGGATCTTCCCCGCCATCTCCCCCAAATATGTTCCCCAGAGGGTTTCTACAACGGCTGGGGGAACACATGGTCCGATAGCCTGGCAGAGCTCTTGCCACAACGCTCGGCCACATGGGCGATTCCAAGAGGTAGGGGGCGGCAGTGAGTCGCTGTAGGCGTCTTCGATAGCCCCGAGACTGGCTCCAGATGACCCGTGATTACCCCGAGACGGCCCCGAGACGAGCCGAACTCAACCCCAAGGCGGCTCCAAATTATCCCTGAATGTTTTTTTTGATGATGCCCCATGGACCAAAATGGCAGCACAAACTGAACGAACTCTGATCGGGCAGGCCAGACAAGGCTCCACAGAACTCCTCCCGCTCCCCCCGCCTCCTTCTCTCCCTCATCCTTTTCCTCAACATCACCCCCATCCCTCTCGTCCGCATCCTCATCCTCATCCTCATCATTATCCTCCTCCTCTTCCTCCTCCTCCTACTCCTCGTCCTCCTATTCCACCTCCTCCTCATCATCATCACCATCATCATCACCATCACCACCACCATTACCATCACCACCATCATCACCATCATCACCACCATCACCACCATCACCAGCACCACCATCATCACCATCATCACCACCATCATTATCATCATCATCCTCATCCTCATCCTCATCCTCATCCTCATCCTCATCGCCATCGCCATCGCCATCGCCATCGCCATCACCATCACCATCATCATCATCATCATCATCATCATCAGCATCATCATCATCATCATCATCATCATCATCATCACCATCACCATCACCATCACCATCACCATCATCATCATCACCATCATCATCATCGTCATCGTCATCGTCATCGTCATCGTCATCGTCATCGTCATCGTCATCGTCATCGTCATCGTCATCATCATCATCATCATCATCATCATCATCATCATCATCATCATCATCATCATCATCATAATCATCATCATCATCATCATCATCACCATCACCATCACCATCACCATCACCATCATCATCATCATCATCATCATCATCGTCATCATCATCGTCATCGTCATCGTCATCGTCATCGTCATCGTCATCGTCATCGTCATCGTCATCGTCATCATCATCATCATCATCATCATCATCATCATCATCATCATCATCATCATCATCATCATCACCATTCCCATGCCCATTACCGTTGCGGCGTTGCGGCGCACCCGCGTGGCGCCACCACGCCCATCTCGGAACACCGCTTGCACGTTTCGTGGCCGCACATGGAGCTCCATCGAGGGCCCCAGAGGCAAGGCCCGCATGGCGTCCCCCCGCTCATGTCGGCACACCCCGCACATGTCTCGTGGCTCCACGGGTCCCCGCCGACGGCCCAAGTGGCAAGTCCCGCATGGCGCCACCACGTCCACTTCGGCACCCGTGCCCCTCACACGTTGCGTTGCTCCTAGGGAGCTCAACCGAGGACCTCAATGGCAAGGCCCGCATGGCGCCACCCCGCCCATTCCGACACACCCCTCTCGTGGCCCCGTAGGGAACTCAACCGAGAGCTCCGATGGGTGCAGGGAGAAGGGAGGCTGAGGATCGAAGATCGGGCGGTCGATTGCTAGCTGGCCGTGGGGGACATTGGGGGGGGGGCAGGGGCGCCACTTCCGCCACCTCAGCAGAAGATGACTTCGCCAGGGACCCACCTCCGAGGAGGATCCCCGCCGCGTCGTGGCCAGCGTGCGTCCACAGGTTGCTTCGAATCGTCTCGCGGGTTGGTGCCATGGGGAGAGAGCCCGCGTTGCAAGATTCGAAGTTCACTGTGGGGGCCTTGCGTGGTCTCGTCCCCCTGCCCCCCCCCGCCCTCAGCCCCGAGCTCCCGCCCCAGCCCCTCACCCACAACGCGGTGGCAGATTCACGCAGCAACCTGACCGGATGGGGGCTTTCGAAGGGGGCATTTGGTATCCAGCGCTCCCCCTCCCGAATAACAGATCTTGGGTGAAGAACTGTGGGGCGCGCGCGGCAAGATTGCCGACCGCGGATCGGCCGCTTCGGATGCCTCCGGGCCGCTCTAAGTCAGCAAAAGCACCACGTGTCCAGCACAGGTAAGGTCGAGTGGGCAAGGAGTGCGGACAGAGTGCGGCACTCCTCTGCCAAGTCCTCCTGTGGGGCGGGTGCCGTACTCGAGGCCGCAGCACGCTGCCATACATCGAGGCGCCCCGTCCGCGACCTGCTCGTCCGCCGAGAAGCCTGCCGCCAAAGCCGACGGATCGGGAGGCGGCGCAGATGTGGCACGAGCACAGACGAGGAGGTCCACCCCGGATCGATCGTTTTGTCGCAGCCATCCTATGGTTTGGGTCCTCGTTTGGAAGCGACAGCGCCCCGCGTCTCTTCTCCTCTTCCTCTCCCCCCTTCCTCCCTCACCCCTCCTCCCATCCCTGCCTCTGCACTCCGCGTGCGCACTTCGGCGCGCCCCGTCACGCGCTTCGGTGGGCCCCCGAAGGGAGGCCCACCGAAGCCCCCACGGGGGGGAGGGGGCGGGCACACGCTGCCCCCCCGCAGCCCCCGTCGGCACACCCCTCACGCCCGTCAATCACGGATGCGGGCTCCACCGAAGCCCCTAGAAGGGGGGGGGGGGCAAGCATGCTGTCCCCCAGCCGGCTTCGGCACACCTCTCACAAATTTCGCAGCCCCACCGGGGGCTTCACCAAAGTCCTGGAGGGGGGGCATGCATGCCGTGCCCCCAACCGATTTCGACACACCCCTTGCACGTTTCGAGGCCCCCTAGGAGGGGGCCCCGCCAAAGCCTGCGGGGGGAGGGGGGGGGGGCACGTGCGGCTAGCGGCGCGAACCCCAGAGAAAGGGGGGGGGGCATGTAGCGTCCCCCAGCCCAGCTCGGGCACACCCTTCACACGCTTCGTGGCCCCACTGGGAGCTCCACTTAAGGCCCCAATGGGTGCGTCCACATGCGGTCCCCTCACGCGTTCTGTGGCCCCATGGGGAGCTCCACCGAAGGCCCAAGTAGGTGAGTCCACATGCGGTCCCCCGCCCATGTCGACACACGCCTCGCACGCTTCGTGGCATCAGCGGGAATTCCATCTGTGGACCCATCGGGTGCGTCCACGGGTGCGTCCACATGCCCCCCCCCCCTGCCCATTTCGGTACACCACCCGTAGGAAGCTCCACCTAAGGCCCCAGTGGGTGCGTACACATGGAACCCCTGGCTCATTTTCGGCACACCCCTCAAGCGCTTCATGGCCCCATATGGGGGGTGGGCCCATATGAGGCTCCTCGGCACACCCCCTTCTTCGTTCCATCTGCCTTGCAGTACTCCCGCTTGTATGTAATTGGGCCCTTCGCCAGGATACGTACTTAGTTTTCGTTGTTCGTTTCGTATCGTCGCGGCGCACTGCGAGACTTCTGACCGCACTGTCGGGGGCCTGAAAGAGGGTCCGGGCTCCGTGAATCCCCGGTCTGATGGTTGCCTCGCTGCCTCTCGTCTCGAGGGCTCCAGGGCCAGTTGAAGTCGGCTCGGCGAAGAATGGCGACCTGCTCTCTTCCGACCCACTGCCTCCTACTCCTTCCTCCCCCTCCTCCCTCTCCCTCTCTTCCTCATTCTCTTCCCTCCTCTTCCCCTTCCCCTCCCCCTCCTCCTCTCCTCCTGCCTGGCGCTCTCGCTACCTCGTCGCCACCACCTCCATCTGCGAACTCGCCTTCCGCGGAAGCGGGGTAGGGGTTGAGGGTGGCAACCTTTTCCCGCACACCTCGTTTTGTTCTCTAGACCGCTTTGGCGACGGGCGAGCTCCGCCACATCTCGAGAATGTGTGTTGCTCAAGATCATGGGCACGAGCTCGGAATCCCCAAGAAGCCCTCACACGGAGGAGGAGGAGGAGGAGGAGGAGGAGGAGGAGGAGAGAGGAGGAGGAGGAGGAGGAGGAGGAGGAGGAGGAGGAAGAGGAGGAGACAGGAGGAGGAGGAGGAAGAGGAGGAGGAGGGAGGACAGAGGAGGAGGAGGAGGAGGAGAGGAGGAGGAGGAGGAGGAGGAGGAGGAGGAGGAGGAGGAGGAGCAGAAGGAGGCGGGGAGGAGGAGGAGGAGGAGGCAGGAGGAGGAGGCGGAGGAGGAGGAGGAGGAGGAGGAGGAGGAGGATGAGGAGCCCTCGCAAGACCTCGCCTTCCGCGGGCATCGTGCTTCGGCCCTGCTGTTCACACGACCCCTGGTATTTTCATGGGGGGAGCGTGACGGCGGCAACGGAACGCTTGAACTCGATACAGGTTGAGTTAAGTCGGGCGTACCCCCTACAGGGGGATTTTCGACGACAGATAAAACATACTCAAACATATCCCCCAAATGGGCAACAAATACTCCAAACATAGTCCCCATACTATCTGACTATTTTTTGAATATTCCCCCCCGTAGAGGAAGGGCCCGACTCAACGATACAGGTTGAGGACAGAGCGATCGCTGGTAGGAGCGCAGCATTTTGGACGAACAGGGCTGCCACAGGTGAAAACCGATACAAACGTCGCGCATGGAGTACATCATATCAATAGATTGCACCAGAGGGCTTACAGCACGCATTGACATGGTCTATTGTATCGTCCAATCGTGCGATACTGGTTTGGCCCCGTCGGAAACCAATGCGCCGACTCTCTGTACAATGCAGGCTGGGTTTGGGGCTGTCTGTCGTTGCCAATAACTTCAAATTTGGGCCCCAAGCCGTGACGTCCTGCACTCTGGATGTACGATCCATGTGATGCAAGCTGCATGGCGCACACCCTGTACTATAAGGCATGTGGTGCAAACTCTTCACTGCACTGCACGTGATGCAGGCTGTGCGGTGAAAGCAGATTGGTGAGAGCCATGCGGTGCCATCTGCATGGTGCAAGCCCTTCTGGTGCAAACTCTGTGCTGCATTCTCTGTATGCTGCCCTCTGTGTGCTGCAGGCTGCGTGGTGCGAGCGGTGCGGCGTGAGCCGTGCCCCGTCCACGAGGCGCCCACGGGCGGGCACGAAGCGTTCGGGCGGCGCCCAGAGGGCCGGGCGCCGGCCGAGAGCCCGGCAGAGGCCCCACCAGCGCCCACGGGGCGCCCACGAGGCGCCCACACCCGGCATGGGGGCCGACCGTGCAGAGGGCCGAAAGGAGGCCCGTACGCCCGGAACTCCCGGCCAAAGCCTGGCCATCCGTGCTCAGCTGGCGGCGGTGCAACGGCCCCTGGAGGCGATTCCGGTTGCGGAGCCAGCTCGGCTCCTCCGTGTCGCTCTGGACTGACGGGAATGAGCATGTCGGACTAATGGGATGTGTGGCTGATGCCGCGAGCAGGCTGCACGCAGGCTCTTGAGTCGATGCTGGAAGAAGATTGACCGAGCGCAACCCCGGCCTTATTCTACTTTTCCCTCCTTTCATCGTCCTCATGCTCCTCCTGCTCTTTCTCCCCCTTGCTGCTCCTCCTTCTTGTCCACCTCCCTCCCCTCCCCTACGTGTTCTTCTTCATTTCCCAACTTATCCGTCTTCCCAATGGTGGTGGTAGTGACCTGCGGTTCTGCTGATCGTTCTCCTCGCCATCGTCGCCCTGAACCCCATGCCTGCTCCTTCTCATTTTGTTCCCCCTGCCCCTCCTCCTTCCGCTCGTCGTCGTCGTCGTCGTCGTCGTCGTCGTCCCCCTACCAGCAAGCCCCATGGACAGAAAAGGTGCATCCCAGCAAGCCCCATGGACAGAAAAGGTGCATCCGGTGCCACGGCCTTGATGCCGATGACGTCGTCCGAGTCGCTGTCGCTGTCGCTCAGGTCGCTGCTCCACGAATGAGAACCGCTGCTGCTGTAGACCCAATCATCCTGCGATGCTCGTCTGCGCACGCAATTCAGGACATGTGACATTCAGAAACAATAACTTCAAGATAACGCGTTTGTGCATGGAGGAGGTGGGGGGGAATCCAGAAGCCTGCAGAAACCCTTGGAAAGCTGAACAAACCTCTGGAACTCCTTCTCCTTCTACTTCTGGACTCTGCTGGCACCCCTGGGCTGCAGGACGATAATTACGTGATGAACGGCACTGGTTACGCTGTGCGATCGTAACGGTGAAGGGCAAGACGGCAGCCAAAAACACAACAGAGGCTGGACAGCGGAAGGGGAAGCAAGGAAAAGCAAAGAACCCCCCCCCCAAAAAGATCCTCCTCATCCTCGTGCCTCTCCTCCCCTCCTCCTCCGGGCGGGGCGGGTGCCGCCATGGCCGCCCGCCGCCCCTGCCGGCCTCCACGTCGCAAGAGCTGCCCGAGTCCTCGTCCTCGGAACGGCGCGCGCCGCCGGGGCGGCGACGACAGCAGCGACCGCGACGATGGCGACAACGGGGATGGCGCTGACACCGCGACGACTTCGAGGGCGGCGAAGGCGACGATGGCGCTGGGATGGAGAACGTAGAGTGCGGCGACCCTGGGATGGAAGGTGACGCAAAGGGGGATGGCGGAGAGACCCCCCCCATTCCCCGGCTCCTCCCGTTTGGGTTCTCCCACCCCCGCCCCGCACGGCGCCCCCAGAGATTCCCCAGGTCCATGCCCGCCAGCACGATCGCCGCTCTGCACTGATGCATCGTTGGTGAACAGCTTTGACGTCTATGCACTGAGGATTGCCATTCTTCGCTCCACGTTTGCTGGGTCGAATCCGACGTCACGTGGAGTAGTTGCAATGTAGATCTCGTCGCTGTAGGTTCCCGACATAGTTGAGCTTGGACTAAGAAACCTCCCCTGCGCCAGCGACTTGGACGTCGCCGCTGGCGACACGAGTTGTGCTGGAATTGACTGACGTATAAATGTACTGGGCCCAGGAAAGCATCTTCGTATCACCCAGGAACAGCTCGACCACCCAATCTATGATGTAAGGTAAGGCGCCCAATATATGATGTAAGATAATGCGGATTCCAACGGCGTTATTCTTGCCTTTCCCGGCGGTTGAAACCAATCCAATCACCCTGCACATCATGAGCAACAGCCTGAACACCCGCCACAGTCCCACTTTTCTCTTGACACATGTCCTGACAACACTTCTCTTGCCAGATCGAACAGGCGCCTTATACCGACTGGTTGCCCGCCCCCGGTACTGCCACACACAAACGAAGAGCCCACGAGTGTTCCAAGTGACGACGTGCTCATGCTGATCACGTTGATGAGGATGAGAAGGACGGACGGCAAGCAGAGGGAGGAAGGCAGGGACGAGAGAGGAGGGGGGCAAGCCAGGCGCGCTCGCGCCATAGATGACATCTTACCCTCCAACCCATCCCTTCCCCTTGCGCTGCGCTTTCTCCATGAGCCGACGGGTGCCGTGGCGGACCTGGAACCCCCTGAGTTACCCCATCGTGCCATGCGCAGTGAGGATATGGAGCTGTGTGTGCATTGGAGGAGGTGGTGGACGAGCAGGGGGAAGAATCTGAGGAAGGAGAAGGAGGAACGCCCGTAGCGGGGACAGGAGCAGGAGGAACGCGGGGAGCAGGACGACCTGGGGAAGGTCAGGGAAAAGGAAAGGAGGGGGCGACACCGACGAGGGAAGACTCGGATCCAGAAGTGTGGCCCTCGCTGGGGTGAGCGCCTCTCCGAGCAAAGGGGGGGCAACGCGCCAATCCTGAGATGAGGCCAACGCTGCAGCGGCACCGCCACTTTCAGGCATCCGACTGAAGGGGCTGAGCGGTCATTCACTGTCCCTGGGCGCGTGGCTGAAGCGAGGTTCCGCGCAGCGGATTGTTGTTGTGGTGGTGGTGGTTGCTGTTGCTGTTGCTGTTGCTGTTGCTCTTGCTGTTGTTGCTGTTGTTGTTGTTGTTGTTGTTGTTGTTGTTGTTGTTGTTGTTGTTGTTGTTGTTGTTGCTGTTGAATACTCATTTCTAAAATAATACTTATTGCTGATCTCCGGCAACGGTCCCGCGCGCTCTCGCCTCGACGCCAGCTACATTTTCTCTGAAAACGAAGCTCCCGCTCGAGCGTTGGCTTCAGCCTAAATGTGGGCCCTTGGAGGCCCAGCTACGACAATAACGGCTCCCGCTCGATACTTCCTCACAATTTACCCCGAGACACCCTGGCCAGAGAGGCCCGCGAACTCAGGAACGGCGCCTTCGCTCGAAACTTCCTCGCAAGTCAATTAAGTTTCTCGGAGGCCCAGCCGCGACGACAAGGGCTCCTGCTCGATATTTCCTCACGATTTACTCCGAGAGCCTCTGGCCAAGAAGGCCCCCGAACTCAGGAACGGCGCTCTCGCTTGAGACTTTCACGTAATTCAAGCAAGTTGGAGGCCCGGACACGGCGACAACAGTTCCTATACGATATTTCTCCATAGGTATTCCGAGAGCCCCTGGCCAGAGGCGCCCTCGAACTCAGGAACGGCGCTCTCGCTCGAGACTTCTTCGCACTTCAGTCCATGGCCTACACAGAAGAGATCCCCCCAGAAAGGAGGTGCAATCGAAGACGAAGTGGGCGGGTATCGAATGTTGGGGTATACGGAATGCAAGACACTCGTGCCATTAAGAACAAACAGTCTTAAAATGATGGTTGAATTCTCATTTCTGAGAAATAATTATTGTTGATCCCCCCTCACTGGTGCATGCTGCTTTTTCTCAATCGAAGTGTGCCCCTCGACACTCGCACCCTGTTTTTTGTCAGGGCAAATCTTGATGCTCAAACTGCGCCCCAACGGCTCCAGCCTGAGACTTCCTTACAGTTTAACCAGGACCCCGCTCCCGCCCGAGACTCCTCGCATTTCATTCAAGAATCGCGCTCTCGCTTGGGACTTCCTTGCAATTTACTCAGGGATCGCTCTCCCGGCGCTCTGGAGTCGCGCTCTCGCTGGAGACTTGCTTGCAATTTACTGACGAATAGCGCCCTTGCGTGGGAATTTCCTGCACTTTGCTAATGCGCCGCGCTCCCGACACCCAGGCACCCAGGATCGCGCTCACGCTTTAGACTCCCTCACAGATTACCTAGGAATCGGGATCTCGCTGCCCTTCGCGGCCCCGTTGTAACCCTTCGTGGCCCCCTCGCTTTGATGCGTGGCCCCGTTGCAGCCCTTCGTGGCCCCCTCGCTTTGTTTCGTGGCCCCGTTGCAGCCCCTCGTGGCTTCCTCGCAACCCTTTGTGGCCCCTTTGCAGCCCTTCGTGGCCCCCTCGCTTTGTTTCGTGTCCCCGTTGCAGCCCTTCGTGGCCCCGTTACAGCCCTTCGTGGCCCCTCGCTCCCCATTGTAGCCCCGTTGCAGCCCTTCATGGCCCCCTCGCTGCCCTTCGTGGCCTCATATATGTATGCCCTTCGTGGCCCCCGCTCGTTCGCGCCCATGGTGGCCCCACATGCATGCTCTTCGTGGCCCCGCTGTCGCCCTTCGTGGCCCCCTCGCTGTCCTTCGTGGCCCCGTTGCTGCCCTCAGTGGCCCCGTCCTTGCCCTCCGCGGTCCAGCATACGCATGCCCTTCGTAGCCCCCGCTCGTTCGCGCCCGTTGTGGCCCCATGTGCGTGCCCTTCGTGGCCCCGCTGTCGCCGTTTGTGGCTCCCTCGCTGCCCTTCGTGGCCCAGTTGCTACCGTCAGTGGCCCCATTGTTGCCTTCTGTGGCCCCGCATATCTGCCCTTCGTGGCCCCCGCTCGTTCGCGCTCTTCGTGGCTCCATACGCATTCCTTTCGTGTCCCCGCTGTCGCCCTTCGTGGCCTACTTCGTGTCCTTCGTGGCCCTGCTGTCGTTCTCTCTCGTTCTCGCTTTCGCTCGTCGTCGTCGTCGCCGTCGTCGTCATCGTCGCCGTCGTCGTCGTCGTCGACGTCGTCGTCGTCATCGTCGTCGCCGTCGTGGTCGGTCCCCTGTCCGTCCCTCTTGGGGTCGGGTCGACGGTCCGCGGCCGCCCCGCCGATCAGCGCTGCTGCTGGCCAGGCCGATGGTCCGCGGCCGCCCCGCCGCTTGCTGGGGCCCGGCCTGCAGGGAAGAAAGGTCTACCCCCGAAAAGGGGTTCGATCGGAAACGAAGAGGGCGGGTATCGAGGGTTTGGGAATACGCGTTATGGGACACTCGAGCAGACGAGGGCGAACAATCTTAAAATGATTGTTGCTGTTGTTGTTGTTGTCGTCGTCGTTCCACCCGCGACGTGGCCCGCGACCCACCCGCGACCCGGCCCGCGACCCACCCGCGACCCACCCGCGACCCACCCGCGACCCAACCCGCGACTCACCCGCGACTCACCCGCGACCCAGCCGCGACCCAGCCGCGCCCCACCCGCGCCCCACCCGCGACCCAACCCGCGACCCAACCGTGACCCACCCGCGACCCAGCCGCGACCCACCCGCGACACCCCCGCGGCCCGGCCCGCGACCCACCCGCGACCCATCCGCGACCCACCCGCGACCCGCCCACTTCTCCAACGAAGAAACGCGGGTTCGTTATATAATTTGTTGAAATTAAGCGCCTGCGGGAGTCTTCTACAGAGCCTCGCAGACTGCCGACGTCCCCGCCGCCCCCCTCACTCTTATTCGCAACTGCGGGGTGCTACGTAACAGTTTTTCGGATCGGGACAGGAATATGACAACATAACTTTTCAAATCTTATGCGTGAGAGCGCGCCGTGCGTTAACATATGGGCCCTGCCTGGACATAACCCAGGGAGAGAGGATGGCCATGTTCAGTACTTGCATAGGTGAGGAGGTAAGGACAGGAGGGTAATACTGATGATCCGAATGGTGACCATGACGACGGTGATGATGAGGATTCTGAATGGTGAACGACGGTGGTGATAATGCTGATGTTGAAGGTGGTGGTGCTGCTGCTGCTATTCTCCCACCACTAAAGCCAACTCAAGCCCCTGCTCCCGCTGCCGCCTCTGCAGCACTGCTGGCAGTCGCACCCCGCCCGGGAGCAGCGCCATTTGCCTCTTGGAGCCGCTCCTTCGGCGGCCGTTCGCGCCCGCGGCGACGTTGCCGCCGGCCAGGTCGCCGCCCGCCGCCCTGGCTGCTGTGGCCCTCGCAGATGCCGCTCCTGCAGTTGCCGCGGCGCTTCCAAAGGCGGCGCTCGTGGTCGAATTGGCAATCTCGGCGCCCAGGGCCGCGCTAGCGCCAGCGGCGCCCTCGCTGTCGGTGTCGAAGTTGCCAAACCCGCTCGCCATGGAGTGTGCCTGGGCCACCGCGGCCGCAGCCGCCGCCGCGGCCAAGGCGGAGGGTGCCCGCGGGGCCACGCCCGCCCGCGTGCGCCCCGCGCGCGGCGGAAGCCCCCCCCGCCGTGCCCCGGCCACCCCCGCCACCCCTGGAGTCGCCAGCCAGCAGAAGGCAGAGGGTCGCTGGCAAGGCTGGGAGGGCCCGCAAGGGCGGCGAGGGGGGGCGGGGCGGCTGGGGTCACCAGCTGGGGCTGCATGGCGGTAGCCGCCGCAGCATCCGCCGCGGGCGGGGGCCTCCTCCGCGCATAGGGCGGGCCGGCAGGCTGTCACCATGTGCGCGGCGCGCTTCCAGATTTGCGCTCCGATGGTGCCGCGCGCCCGCAGCTCGAGATCTTTGGGGCGCGCGGCCGTGGCGCCTGGCCGCAGATTGGGCTATGAAGCGCGCCGTGGCCGAGGCGTCGGCGCGCGGCCGCCTTGCGGCAACTCCGCGCCACGGGGCGCTACTTGACGTCATCCTCTGCTAACTCCTTCAAGTGCGGCCCGTGCAGCTCGAGCTTTTTCCGCGCCGTGGAAGCGCATGCGTTGTCTGCTGCCGCGCGCGCACTTGGGCTGGCGACGCTAGCGTCCAGCGCCGTCAAACGACCAAAGGCCGCGTCCGTGAGGCCGACGCCGCCATGCCGCGGGGCTCGGTGACTGCGCCGCTGTCAGCCAGGGGCGCCAGCCCGAGCAGCGCGTCTTGGACCCTGTTGCGCCCCCGCGCGGCGGGCGCTAGGGCGCGCCCGAGCGCGCGCTGGCGCTGCGGGCCCAGCTGGCCGTCGCATCTCGCGCGCGCGCGGCTGGGGCGCCCGAGAAGTCTGCCCCGGGGCGAAGCCGAACCGCGCGACGAACTCGGCGGGGGGCGCCGCGGCGTCGTCGACCGCCGTCAAGACTCACAACCGGCGGTGGTCAGTATCGGGGTGCGTGATGTCGTCGAGTATACGGCCGCCCTCCCAGTTCTGGGAATGACGCGCGCTGGCTCGCAGGGCCGCCGAGCGGGGCCCCGACGCCGCCTGGGCCAAGGGCGACTGCAAGCCCTCGTCCGCAACCGCGCGCGGGGTCGTCGGGGCCTCGCGACGGGGGCGCGCTGGCGACGCGCCCGGCGACCTCGTCGCCATTGCTGGGTCGGCCCCGCGGCGGGGCACCGGCGACCCGCGCGAGGCGCCTGGCGGCCTCTTCGGCCCCCGCCTCCCTGGTGAATTCAGCGGGCGGCGGCGGGGGCTGCGCGCGCCGCTCGTCCAAGGCCGCGCGCGTCACGGCGATGGTGATGTTGCCGATGGTCATGGTAATGTTGTCGATGGTGGTGATGATGATGGTGATCGGGGCCCCGGTCGGCCACCGGGTCTACCGGGCGCGCTCGTCTAGAGGCGGCCGACTGGGGCATGCCTGCCGCGCGCGCGAGCCCGCGCGGCTCAAAACGACGAAACCCACGACGACCATGATGGCGGTGAGCAGGAGCGCCGCGGCCCGCAGGGCGGACCTGGCGGCGGAGAAGTTGCGCATGTGGCCTGGCACCTCCTTGGCCACCCAGCAGCCGGTCGACCTTGGGGTCTCCCGCCTGCAGGTAGCGCGGCGCCTCGAAGGTCTTCGTTCGAGCGCGTGGGGCACTTCCCGCCGCAGAAGCGCTGGATGTGGTACCTCCTGTTGCTGCCGCTCCCGTTATCCTTGTGGCTGCGGGCCATCAGCAGGGAGCTCCTCGACGTCGCGGAGTGCAGGCCGCGCCTCTGTCGCCCGATGACGCCGCCCCCGACGAGCGCAATGCGCTTCCTGGCCGCCGCAGCTGGGACGCAGTCGCCCGCGGTCACTGGCGGTGGGGCGACAGGCGCAGCACGATCTGCCACTGACCTCGCCCCTCCTCGCTGCCTCCTGCGCGGGGGCGGCTGGCCTGGCGGCTCGCCGCGCGGCGCCTCAGGCTCCGCCCGCGCTGGCTACGCTGAGGGCCTTCGCCGTTGCCCTCGTCGGGGCTTTCTCGCTGGTGGACCCGCTGGCCCCCTCTCGGCGTTGAGCTGCGCGGCCGCCGCCGGGAGGGCCGCGGCGGTGATCGCGGCCTGGGGTGTCGTCGCCGTGCCGGGACTGGATCCGGGCTGCGCCCGCGCGCGCTCGGGCTCCGCGTCGAGTGCGACGTCGGGGCCGGCGCGCTTGGGGCAGGGGCCCGCGGGGGGGTGTCGGTCCACCGCCGCCTTCTCCTCGCGCTTCTTCATTGTGCCCACCTGGGCATCCGTTGGCCCCATCGCGGCAAGCACCCTCTGCCATGCCCTCGTCGCTTGCTTGGTGAGCGTGGCGTGCCGGCGTGGCCCCATCCGCAAAATGCGACGACTCCTGTGACCTTGCCGAAGTTGCGCACGTTGAGCGCCTGCCAGCATTCCCACTGTGCGGCGGTCCAGAGGTGGGATGTTGCTCTTGGCGACTTCAGCTGTTGATCCACCTCCTCAGCGCTCTGTGCTCGACGTTGTGGGTGAGGGCCGCAGCGTGCCTCTGTGCGCTGGCGAGGGTCTGCGGTCGTGACAAGTGGCGCAGGCGGCGCGGCTCGCCGCGCTGCCATGCCCAGGCGCGCCGACCTGGCCAGCTCATCCGTAGTCCTGCGCGTCCATGTCCTCGCGCTGTCGAAGCGGCTGTCTCTGAACATCTCTGTGACGTGCGGCGTGCATCACCTGGCCCGGTCATCCTCTGAGTCGGGCTCCTCTCCGTGGCCAACGTCGATGATCCTGCGCATGGCCCAATGGCTCACCGTCTCCTCGATTATCGGGGCTGGGCTCCAGTTGAATGGATGGCGCGTTGTTCCGCGCAAGGGCGCAAGGGCGCCGTCGCGATTTTGCGGGTCAGGTGGCCGGGGCGGGCGTCGAAACGCCGCCTGCGTCTGTCCATCTTCATGTTGGGCTCTCCAATCGCATCGATGAAGCCATCGTGGTCTGGAAGTTCCATCTCGTTCAAGCTGCGTCTGAAGCTGCGCCTGCCATGTCTGCCAGCCCTTCGCGCGCTGTCGCAGATCTCCCTGGCGCGACCCCCCCGCTGGGTCGCTGCCGTCTTCGGGCGGGCTGTCGGAAGCAGCCTGGCGCATGATGTGCTTGCGCACGTGCGGGGCGCGCCGCCTCCCCCAGTTAGCGCCGTCGCGAGGGCCCTCGCGCCTGGCCCGTTGGGGCGGGCGCCGAGGGTCCGGACCGGATGTGCAGCGCCCTGGAAAGCCATCTTCGTTCGGCGCTGGCTGCTTCTGGCCGCCCAGCTGGCGGCTCCTCCGCGATCGTCTTGAGCTCCTCCTTGTTGCCGCGCGCGTCTTCGTCGGCGTGGGAGAGGTCGCCTCCACTTTTGCTGTCTGCAGCGCTGCCGGCAGCATCTGGCGGGGCCGCGGGGCCGTCGGGCGGCCGCCGCTGCGTTCCCGGCCGTGCCCCGCAGTCTCCGCTGGGCGCCGCGGCTCCCGCTCCCGCGGTGAGCTGGATGCCGTCGCGCCTTCTCGTGGTTGCCCTGCTGGATGGGGCCGTCCTGGCCGCGGGGCAGTCGGGCGGCCGCAGCTGCTTTCCTGACTGCGCCGCTTGGCCTTGCGCCCGCTTGGCAGGCCGCGTGCCGCTGTGCGCGGCGAGGGGGCGCTTGCTCTTGATTTCTGCGCCCCGCGCCTGAAGGCTCGCCGCTGGGTCGCTGGGTGGCCGCAGCTGCGTTCCCTCGGGCCCCGTCCGGTCGCTGCCAAAGGTCTCGTTCGCTGTCGCCGCCGCCGCTCGAGCGACACAGCGCCGCTTGCCCGTCGCTTCTGTTCGCTTGCCAATCGCGGCATCCTGCGTGCGCCAGTTGCAGGTCCACGAGCGCCCAGCCACATGCACGGCGTGGCACTCGCCGGGATGATGGGGCAGGCGCTGGCAGCTCCCGCGCGTCCAGCTTGCCGCCGCACTTCAGGCTTCCGCGCGCGCAGCCCTTTCTCCTTCGTGGGCGGGGCTCCGCCTGGCCGCGGCGCCCCGCTGGCGAACCTCGCGTTGACGTTTGCGATGCGGCGCGCCATCTGCCTGACATGCCCGAGCTTTGCCTGCGCCATCTTGGCGGGGGGTCCGCCGATGTCCTGCGAGTCCGTGCCGTGGTTGGTCACGGCGCCCGCCTGGTCGTTGCCTCGTGGGCGCCGGCTCTCTGGTTCCTTGCCCCGCGAAGGACTTGCGCTCCAGTGCTTCCCCCGATTCACGGTGTGGGCGCCATCTGGGGCCCCGTGCGTCACGGTTTGCTCGCGATGGTGCATCTCCCATTCCATCCCGATCTTCGTCCCCTTGACGAGCGGCAAGTGGTCAAACTGCAGCTTCGTGGTGGAACCGCGACTCGTCGCATCTGTTGTGCTGCCCGCAGCTCCGCTCTGGGAGATGTCTGCGCTTGGCCAGGGGGTGCGCTGCGCGCGTCGCGATGGCCAGGCCTTGGGCCGCCGCGGTGAAGCCCCGCCCTGCGCGGTCGGCCTCCGGCCAATGCCACAGCCTCCAACAACGCCTATCACATCAAGCATCCCGAGGATCGACGATCGCGTCGGCATCTCCGAGCCCGCGCCTCCACGCCCCGCTGTCGCCCCGAGGAGGCGGTTGCGGCGACTCCGCTCGCGGTGCCAATGCCCTCGTCCAGCGGCGGTCGTCGGGGCGAGCCTTGGGTTTTCAGCGCCGCCTCGGGCTCGAAGCTGCGGTTGCGAGGGTCGCCTGTCGCGCAGCTGCGCCAGGGGCGATGGCGCGGCGTGCCGGTCTGACCGCGTACTAGGCACTTGTCGTGGCTGGAATACTTGTGGACTGTCATCCTCTTCTGGCTCCAGCGCAGTGGGCCCCGATGGCGACTGACCTGAGCGAGCCCGTGGCGGCGCCGTCGAGCTTCCGCCTGATCTTCCTCCTTAGGCGAATGAGCTCTGCCAGCGGCTCCGCCCAATGTCCTTCTGCCGGCCTGGATGGGGATGTCCCTGTCGGGCGCCGCGTCGGCCTTGGTGGCCCGCTCGCTCGCTCCATTCGGTCGCTGCAGCGACCCTCGGCCGCGGCGCTGGTGCTGTGGATGGCGCCTCGCGATCGCGGCGCAGCGCCTCGCCCTGGCGCGCCCCCCATGCCGTGGGCGATGGTGGGGTCCATCCAGCGGTCTCAGCCGCCGCGGTGGCTCCAGCTGCCGGCCCGGCGATCGCCCCTCCATCGCTGCAGCTGCTTCTTCCGCGCCGAAAGCATGACTTGCTGTTTCACTCTTTCTTCGGCGCCCGAGAAGTCACAGTGGTGGATCGGTGCATCTGGCGCAGCGCCACCCCGAACCTAACCGCGCAAAGGAACGGCGAGCGCGCGCTGCCCTGGCCAGAGGTTAGGGGCGGGAGCGCCTCGAGATGGGTCCACTAGCTCGTTGCTGGATGGCCGCGGTGCAGATTGCAGAGCGCAGCTTTGGTCGCCGTATCATAAGGTGCGAAGTCTGAATGAGCGCCGACGGATCATGCTTATGCGTCGCAAACTTCGCAGATTCATCAGCCGCAAACTTCCAGAGGACATGGGGCTTCTCGGTCTCGTTCTCTACGGGGGCGACCGCTTGGTCCGCCGTCCCCTTTGCGAGCGGAGACGCCCTCGTGGCAATCGCCGTCCGAGACGTGGTATGCTTATGCTGGTTGGATCTCGCGCGCAAGAGGATCCGCGCGCGACGGCCTAGCGATCGACATGGGGGGCCCTTCCCGCTGGAAGGTCAGAATGGTTCCTGCCACGGCTGAGCTGCAATTCTCACCTGCGCCAGCAGATTGAGGCGATCCTTCCGAGCTGGACCGAATGCGACTCGAAGGAGACACCTGCCTGAATCGACCTCCGCCGCCGCCTGCCCCGCGCGAGCGATCCCTGACATCGCGCCGCCAATGCAGCTCCTGCTTCCCCGCTGGGTGCGTGCGCGGAGCGCCCCTCCGTGGCAGAAGGACTTGGCGCGATGCGTGGCGGATTGGGGGGTCTTGGCAGCAATCGGCGCCAAACGAAACCTACTGAATATCAAAGTCGTCGTGGCCGCAATGGTACGCCATGGCTATGAGCTCTTGGCCCATGCGCGCCCTCCCAGCATCGAACCTCGGAAGAACTTGATGTAGGGCTCTTGCCCGCGGCCCAGAGATGGTGCGTGAACTCCTGCGTTGGGCTTCGGAAATTCGCGCCGCTGTCGACCGGCTGTCGCCCGCCTGCACCTGGCGCTGGTGACTGCGGAGGAGCGCGCGCGGCCCTCGAAAAGGTAGCCGGGCGCGTCTCTCGAGACGCCGAAGGCACCTCGCGGGTCCAGCGTTTCCTTCCGCCCCTAGGCGCTCTGGTCTGGGACCGCGCGCCGTGGTCGCTCGAAAAGCTACGGCGCAGCGTCTCGCTGCATGCCCGAACTCGAGGCGTTCGGCTTGGGGGCTCCAGGAACGGGGGGCTGCGTCAGGCACTAGGTGGGAAGCGCCTTGGGGCGCGGCTTGTGGTTGCAGGGGTCGCGGCGTGCATCGTGGAGCTCTACGCTGCGGAATCCGAGGTTCTCGTCCGTGCCTTTTGTTCGGGCGGCCCGCGGCCGAGCGATGCCCAGGGAAAGGGCGCCGCAATCGGGGCCGAGCCCGTCTTTGCTGCCGGGGGGGCGCGCAAGCCGTTTGAGTCGCGCGGGCGGCGGCCGTGTTCGAGCCTGCAGGTCCATCTGCTGCGGCGGCCGAGCCAGGGGCCCGTTGCGCGTGTGGCGCGGTCGCCTACGCGGGAGCGGTCCTTGGGGCCCCCAGAGCCCGCCGTGGACGAGGTGGTCGCGCAGGAAGGCGAAGATGAGCTGGAAGGGGCGGCCCCCGTTGTCGCTGAAGGGCGCGCACTTCCCGAGACTGCCGCCATGGCGGGCGTTGCCGATGTACGAGCGGCCGTCGTAGAGGAAGACAGCGATGCCGAAGTGAAAGCGGACAGGCCGCAGCATGCCGAAATGTAGTCCCACCACGACGAGGATCAAGAGCAGCCCAAGGATTGCTAGGACCAGAAGCTGTACACATGCAAGGGCGCGAAGGGTAGCATAGAATAGGTGACTGCTGCGCGGGTTGACGGCGGACCTGAAGAACAAGCTGAAGGACATTTCCGAGGGCGGCCTGGTGGCTAGGGTATCTCCCAGGAGAACCCAACAAAAGAACACATATAGTAATGGCGGCCGACAAAGTGAAGGACAGGTAAAAGGGCGGCGGCGTGGCCGTGCGAAGAGTTCGCGTCGCGCGGTGAAGCTGCTCGCCGTCGTAGCCGTCAACGGACGAGCTCGTAGTATCGCTCCACGAGTACTGCGCGAGGATCTTCGGCAGGACCTGTCATGGTAGTCTGCAAAACCGATGTGGACGTAAAGCTACGTTTACATTCAAGGCGCGAAGCGAGCCCGCAAAAGGGAAACATCTTTCCAGACCCCCTGGTCTCGAGAGCGCAGAGCCACCACTACCTGCACCCGGTCGGGACCCGCTCTTGCGCTTCCCTTTTTTTCTGAGAGCGCACAAAGAATCCCACCAGCGTTCTGGGCTGAGGTGGCCGAAGGTGCTTCCTCTTTCATCCCCCGCCTGGCCCTTCGGGAAGCGGTTTGCTCCTCCCTCCTCCCCTCCCCGCCGGCTCCAAGAAAACTCAAGTAAGCCTAATCTGACCTTCGAGATGGGCCGCGATATCCTAAGATGGTTTTAGCTGACTTCCGAGTTTCTTGCAGGATGCCCTGAGGCCGCCATACAACGCCTCCAAGTGCCCACGTGGCATCTCAATAACACGGTCGACTGCTCCAAACCATTCTAACCCCTGCAATGCTTTTTTGCATTCTCGCCTTCTCGCTTCCGATGGGCTTCCGAGGCCTCAAGATGGCTCCACTATGGCCCCACTGCGGGCCCCCAGGCGACCCCAACAGCGCCCAAGAACGCCCCAGCAGGGGCCCACTAGGCGACTTGTCTGGTTCCAGAGAAGCGGCGCTGTTGGGGGACCCCCCTGTCGCTCAACGCCAATACCATTAAAGAATTATCCCGGCAAAGCAACCTAACAGCGATGTGTAGGAGCATATCTGGAAGCATTCCCCTTAAGATTCAGATAAGAATCCTGTTGTAGAATTCTGCTGTTCTCGCAGTCGTGGTCGCATTCGCGATGGCAGTCGCAGTGGCAACAGCAGTCGCAGTCACAGCCTCAGCCTCAGCCTGCCTCAGCCTCAGCCTCAGCCTGCCTCAGCCTCAGCCTGCCTCAGCCTCGCCCTCAGCCTGCTTCAGCCTCAACATCAGTCTGCCTTCAGCCTCGGCCTCAGCCTGCCTCAGCCTCAGCCCTCAGCCTCAGCCTCAGCCTCAGCCTCAGCCTCAGCAGCCTCAGCCTCAGCCTGCCTCAGCCTCAGCCTCAGCCTCAGCCTGCAGCCTCAGGCCTCAGCCTCAGCCTCAGCCTGCATCAGCCTCAGCCTCAGCCTCAGCCTCAGCCTCAGCCTCAGCCTCAGCCTGCCTCAGCCTCAGCCTCAGCCTCAGCCTCAGCCTCAGCCTCAGCCTCAGCCTCAGCCTCAGCCTCAGCCTCAGCCTCAGCCTCTGCCGTCAGCCTCAGCCTCGGCCTCAGCCTCAGCCTCGCCTCAGCCTCAGCCTCAGCCTCAGCCTGCATCAGCCTCAGCCTCAGCCTCAGCCTGCCTCAGCCAGCCTGCCTCAGCCTCAGCCTCAGCCTGCCTCAGCCTGCAGCCTCAGCCTCAGCCTGCAGCCTCAGCCTCAGCCTGCAGCCTCAGCCTCAGTCTGCCTTCAGCCTCGGCCTCAGCCTCCTCAGCCTCAGCCTGCAGCCTCAGCCTCAGCCTCAGCCTCAGCCAGCCTGCCTCAGCCTCAGCCTCAGCCTGCCTCAGCCTCAGCCTCAGCCTCAGCCTCAGTCCTTCAGCCTCGGCCTCAGCCTCAGCCTGCCTCAGCCTCAGCCTGCATCAGCCTCAGCCTCAGCCTCAGCCTGCCTCAGCATCAGCCTGCCTCAGCCTCAGCCTCAGCCTGCCTCAGCCTCAGCCTCAGCCTGCTTCAGCCTCAGCCTCAGTCTGCCTTCAGCCTCGGCCTCAGCCTCAGCCTGCCTCAGCCTCAGCCTGCATCAGCCTCAGCCTCAGCCTCAGCCTGCCTCAGCATCAGCCTGCCTCAGCCTCAGCCTCAGCCTGCCTCAGCCTCAGCCTCAGCCTGCTTCAGCCTCAGCCTCAGTCTGCCTTCAGCCTCGGCCTCAGCCTCAGCCTGCCTCAGCCTCAGCCTGCATCAGCCTCAGCCTCAGCCTCAGCCTGCCTCAGCATCAGCCTGCCTCAGCCTCAGCCTCAGCCTGCCTCAGCCTCAGCCTCAGCCTGCTTCAGCCTCAGCCTCAGTCTGCCTTCAGCCTCGGCCTCAGCCTCAGCCTGCCTCAGCCTGCCTCAGCCTCAGCATCAGCCTGCCTCAACATTCAAAATGTGGCCCA